TCTCTTTTAGTACTGTGGATGCAAACTAAGGACAAATGAACCGCATTTTTTATATTTATTTAGAAATACATGTTATTAAATCATTAATTTCATTTTATTATTTATTAAACTCGAAAAATACAGACGTTTATACAAAAAGGTTTATTTAAATATAAAATTATATGACTATTTAAAAAAAGGGAGGAGATAAATTTAGACTGATTCAAATTAGACCAAGTGAAACTACAACTCCCAAAGTGCATTTCGGGGTTGACACACTCGACCGGAAAAGCATCTTTATCATCCGGGTGCGCAAACCTTTCTTTCTGTTTACGTTTATAAGGCCAAAGTTTTGGTTTTACACCCTATAAACTTAAAAACCAGTAGGCGTTTAAATTTCGTATTGAACGACTCAGAAAACGACAAAAGTAAGCTTGTTTAACGAACATAATCTCTCAGCAAGATTTACGTTAAACATAACTAAAATACCGTAAAATGGGTAGCGCCGTTAAAGCGCTAACTAGCTAGCTAGCAAACGTTTTCTCCCGGTCGAATTGTCAAAATACGTTATTTGTCCTAGTTTTTCACATTTAATAGGCTTTTATCTGAACACGTATTGCTCTAATGATTGTTACACAAATTATTTAGCTAATAAAATTCATAAACACGTTATTTAGTGTACTTTAGCTTAGCATTTAGCTAATAGCCTTTATATTTTACTGGAGTTTTCTCCATTGAGAGTGCCAACACAGTACAACAGTTAGTAGATATTACACTCTACAGTAATATATTTCATTGTACTTTTGTGTAAACCCTTTAATTAACTCATTAAAGCTGGCCCCACCACTGCCCGTCACCATGCCCGCCCTGCTGGAGAGACCCAAGCTGTCCAACGCGATGGCCCGAGCCCTCCACAAACACATCATGAGGGAGAGGGAGCGCAAGAGACAAGGTGTGTGTCTGAGACGTCCTCTCACCTGAGCTGCTGCTTTCTGTCACAGCTGAAGCTAAACTCATTCCAACTCCTGTATTTCTCAAATCTAAATCCAGTTTATTTTTACATCTTTGAATCAATAAATGAGTTGTGCGTCGTTGCCAATTTATATCTTTTCCTCATCCTGAATGTGTAGCTTCCTGCCAAATTATTAAAAATAATAAAAAGTGGGCCCAAAAAGGGATTTCTTCTGAGTAGCTGCTTTTTGTTTATGGGGACTTAGGATCTGTAGCTCCTTTTTTTTCAGTTTTACTCACTGATACAATTAGATAAACAAGATTTACACTTGCAAAAATGTCCAAAGAGCCCAGAACCTCCTGGGCTCATGAGCCTGTTTGATTAGTTTCCAGCATTTGTTTCCATCTTTCTTCCTCAGTCTTTTCAAAGAGTAATGTTCAAAACATCTTGTAAAAATTGAGTAACTAGGTTGTTCTGCAGGGATAATCGAACACAAATTCAGCTTCTGTTGACCGAGGAGACACGGATGTCGTTAAAAGCTGCTGTGTTTGAGCACGAAGCACAAATCATCCGTAGAAACGTGCAGAAGCCACACAGCATGTGTGATTTGAGACTTTCTGGTTTATCGTCCTGACAACTGGCAAGAGATGGACACTAAGTGGAAATGTTCAAGAAGGAACATTCAAGTTCTGGATGCTGTTGGCCCAAACAGCACTTTACGTTTTAAGTGTTTAGTACTGGTACTTTGAAAAGTTTAGTAACAACTACAGCCTTTACATCATCAAGCTGAAGGTGAGGGCAGCACAGTGGCTTAGTGGTTAGCACTGACGCCTCACAGCAAGAAGGTCCGTGTTCAATCCCTGATTTGGACCTGAGGTGTATTCACTATTTTGTACCTGTGCCCCGCTCTGATTTGGCGTCACTTTTCAACATTTTATTTCTTTTGTGTCGATTCAGTCTCTTACTACAAAATTACTACGATCCGTTTTGTGTCATAAAGTAAAAACTCTTCATTCAAACACTGTTTCTTTCCGTTTGTCGCCTTTTCTTTACGTTTCTTTTGCAGCAACGATGTGGCCGTTGCGTCATCATAACTCACGGCACATGCAGAAATAAATGAATCCACGTACGAATGAACGCGACTTGAAATGCGTTTTCAAAGCAACAAGAAAACTTTTAAGAGCCAAAAGTGAACGTTACATGTTGTTTAACTGTTATGGTGGAACAGGTGTTCAGATTTGTCCTACCCTTCAGGTAATTGCATGAGGGGCGTGGTCACATTTAACTTGGCTGATCTGAGTCATGGCACCAGGTGCTGGGTTAGTGTAAACTTTTCTGTTGACCGTCACATTTTGATCGACACCTTTATTGCCATTTTCAGTCATACCAGCGATTTAAATGAATACAGACCCTTTGATGGATGGCTAACGTTCATCGTGTTAGTTTTGGCTCATTGGAGACGCGTCACAAAGCAAAACCTGCTCAGCCGGCCACAACTTAATTTGTGGATCGAAGTCGCTACAAATTTAAATGATGAATATTACAGAACGTGCCTTCATGTGCTCTGCATCCGTTTTTAAAATACAGGTTTTTATTAACACCTTCATTAAATACGCATTTTTACATATTGTGTTTGTGTATTTTCACAGAGGAGGAGGAGGTGGATAAAATGATGGAGCAGAAGTTGAAGGAGGAGGAGGAGAGAAAGAGGACGAAAGAAATCGAGGAGAGGATGTCGTTGGAGGAGACCAAAGAACAGGTCGGAGCCAAGTTTCATCTCGTTTTTAAGTTGCACTTTTACTTCAAAACGTGTAAATGCGACTAAATAACGGGTTCATCGTCTCGTTCCGTGACTCGACGTGAACATCAGGTGATGAAGATGGAAGAAAAACTGCAGGGACTTCAAGAAGAGAAGCATCAGCTCTTTCTACAGCTCAAGAAGGTTCTCCATGAAGAGGAGAAGCGGCGCAGGAAGGAGCAGAGGTGTTAAACGTCCAATATCCTCGTACATTCTTTTATAAAGTGCTCCGAGTCCAACATGTGATCCACGTTTGTGTGTTTTTAGTGACATCACCACCCTGACGTCAGCCAGCTACCAGCCCAGTCTGTCCATGCACACAGGGCAGCACCTCCTCAGTATTCCAGGTGAGACACGAACCATCGCCAGCCGCAGCGCAGGAACCATCCACGTTTGTTCAAACGCTCGTTCTCTTTTTGCCTCTCGTTGCCTCAGGCAGCCCGGTCGGCCACAGTCGACCCGGAGCTCTGCTGGGAGAACGGAGCAAACAGCTCTTCCCAGCTTCTGTCATTCCTGTAAGAAAAACTCAAATTTATTTTTATTTGACCGATGAACACAGTTTGGGAAGTCGCAGCATGTTTACTCCATTTCTCACCTCGTCCGCTCTTAGGCCCGACATTATCAGACTCCTGGCTTCAGCTCGGGCTCAGCAGAGCACGGGCAGTTCAGTGGAAGCCAGGGGGTCCATGAGCCCTACGGGGTGGCTCAGGCCCAGCACCCCTCCTCCTACGCACCTGGACCCTCTGTACCCGTCAACTTTGCCAGCAGCTCTCAGATCAGAGGTGAAGAACGCACTCGGACGCAGAAATACTCGATCGTTGGTTTGTTCTTCGTGAATTGGTCTATTAGTCAGATCCCTCTTTGTAAAAAAACAAATTATTTCTGTTTATAGTCGTGCGATTGTTGCTAAATGTTTTCGTTTAACCTTCAGGTGCGTCTGCGTTTCAAGCCATGCAGTACCTCCCTCACCAGCAGGCGGGGTATCCTGTTCACGGTCACTTCACCTCGCAGCCAGGTGAGTCCGGGCGGGGCCTCGTGCTCCCAGCGCTGACATTTCACCCTTAAACTTATTTACGTTGAATCACTCCGAAAAAGGATGAATCGTAACCTACAGCTCACACGATGAGACGAGACGAAACCTGCTGGAAGTAATTCTCTTCCTAAACGCTCCTGGTGGGTTTGCTGGCGTCTCCGGTCTGATTTCTCCTGTTTCCTCTGAATCTTTTTTTTCCCCAACCTTTATTTGTACAGGTTAATCTGCGTGACCTTTGAACTCAGGTGGTCCAACTCATTTTCACAAAGAGCCCAAATTAAAAACCTGATTCCAGTCAAAGACAAAGTGTTTTTCAATTTTATTTTTAAAGAATTATAATAAGTCTGTTGTTTTCCTAATAATTCCCCAAACAGAATCATAACTCCATATATCAGAACAGAGTCTAGATGTTTTATAAATAACAAAACATTACATATTTCTTTTCTCTGTTTTAATTTGTATGACACTTTGATGACTGTATTTTCCAGCGTGTAAGTCGCTGTTTGTTTGCATAGCTTTGCCAGTCCTGCGACTTATACGCCGAAGTGACTTCTATACGTTTTTTCCTCTGGCCTGGTGCGACTTATACGCTGGAAAATGTGGTAATTTCTAATGAAAACATGATAAAACGCATAAAAAAAATAAAAAAAACAGCTACAAACATATCACATTAAAATCCCAGGAAAAAACAAAAAGATCACGTGAATAAAATAAATTCCCTCTTTGTGATGCGAGTCTTGGAAACACTCGGCACTGACTGAAGGACATTAGAGTGAAACTCCTCTGTTGTTTTTATTATTCAGCACAGATAAAAGTTGATGATAAACAGATATTTAATCATATTCACACGTCTTCAGTTACAGAACAAAAGTCCAGGTGCTTCCTCTATTTTTATTTTAATTCACCATGTCCTGCATGACAGAGAGTCTACACCGACATGTGATGCCAACGTTGGTGTCGGACCGTACCGATGCTGGCGTGACGGGATCAAAACGTTAGTTTCGCTTTCAGTACGTCGTTCCAGAAACAACGCTGCGCTGGAGGAGCCGGCAAAATCAAATATAAACACTCGAGCCCAAATGATATCTTGATAGGGCCGATATTTTAGGCCGATGTAGACGTTTGGGGACGTATCGTTTGTCCCTTTCTGCGCACACTTCTCATTTTCACCCCGACAATGCTGGAGCCAGCCGTAAGTTTACAGTGTGTCCAGCAGAGGGCGCTTGAAGACTACTTTCAAGTCACAGCCCTTAAGTTTCACTTTCAGCACAGCTTTTATTTATATATATATATATATATGTATATATATATATATATACATATATATATATATATA